TAAAACCAGACCAACCTTACAAGAGATGCTAAAGGGAGTCCTTTGAACAGAGAACCAAAAATAGCAAATAGCAACTGACCATTAATACACAAGATGACACAACCCAGAAACTACAGCTATGGACATATCCAAAATAAAATGAGCTTACAAGATTGTAAACAGGGAACCAGAAACATCAATTAGCAAGTGAGGACAATTACAAACAAAAAGAGGGAAAAGACTGTGTAGTTATAGGACTTCTAAATGGTGAGGACGTTAAGAGAGTTGCAAGATAGAATGGACTGTTACATTATGCTGAGTGAAACAAGTCAATCAAAAAAGGACAAATAATTGTATTAGTCCGTTATTGTAAAAGTTAAGGAAAGTTTTATCTATAGAAGGACATTTTCTTTGTTGGTTACCAGGGGTAGAAGGTAGGGGAGGCTGTTAGATAGATAGAGGTATGTATTGATTTGGGTGAAGAGAAGGGCAATGTACCAAATGTGAGTGACCAATATGACACCATTGAGGATGAGAAAGACATAGAGGGGTACGTGGGAGGTACAGACAACAAATATGAACCCTTTTGCACATACAGTACTGCATTGTCAGTGAAGGCTAACATGGGTATATGGATGGATAGATGAGTGGACAGGCTAAACAATTAGGTATGTCTATGAAATGGGGAGTGTACCCAAGAACATATATAGGGTTGGCAGACAATGGTCCTATAAGTTTATGTGAATGAGCAGAATTACCAGGTGTATAGTAGAGCTGACAAGGGGCAAGGTTGTGGTCACTGCTTGGTCATAGCCAGCTATCCAGAGGGACCGAGTAGCTGAACCTGTGGGCTTGGGACAATAGTCGCAGGAGGCATCAAGCTCAATTGGCATAACATACTATACAAAACATTGTTCCACCTCCTACTTTGGCGAGTAGTGACTAGGATTTTAAAAGCTAGCAAGCTGCCATCTAGATGCAACGATGGGGCTCTCCTCGTGCAGAGCAAAGAAGAATGAAGAAAACCAAAATTCATGGAAACAATTAGTCCTAACGACTGGTACACCATCCGATCTGCAGCCTATACAACTAGATGGTGCCCGGCTACCACTGCCATCCACTTGGAAGGGGATCTATGTAGGAGACCCTTGATAGAGAGAACAATGTGGAACAAAACTCAAAATCATTTGGAGGAAAGAAAAAAAAAAAAAGGTGGGGACCAGGTTTGCTGGTCTGATAGAGCCTGGTAAAACCACTGAGACTATGGCCCCTAGCTGCCCTTCAAGTCTGGAATTGTACCCACACCTGTGGTTTCCAGCCAAACAAAATACAGGCATTTGAGTTGAACATTTACCTCAAGTAGATACACTCCTAGGAGAGAACCATCATTGAGAGAGAAGGGGTGCTTATGCACAGGGAGACAGCTCAGGGGGCAGGAGTGTATGGAGGGATGGACACTGGGAAGAGGTAACTATGGGGAGGAAGTGGGAGGGGAGCTGTTGCATTGTGGTAAACTGTGGTCAATGACATGAGACAAAGTATATGTGAACTGCTGTATGGAAAGTGAATTTGCTCTGTAAATCTTCACGCAAATCACAATTACACACACACACACACACACACAAAATAAATAAATATAAAGAGGAAAAAAAAAATTTAACGTGAGCTGCTGGTGTTACCAGTTTAAATTATCTTAGAAAAAATGAATATCCAAAGGGGAAAACTAAAATTTCTCTCCCTAACAAATGTATGGTGAAAGCTGCTGGAAAAGGTACTGAAGGTTAAACAAAGAAACCCCAACTCTTACCTTCTTTTTTCACTTTGGTGACAACGTTCTGGGTTTCCGACCATCGTTCCACAATCTCCCGGCAGATATTAAGTAGAGAATCTTCTTCCTAGTTGGAAAAACAGACCAATTAATTTCCTCAGAGTGCCCTCAAAAATAACAGCAACCCAAAAATAGCCCAAGCAGAGAGCACGGATTCGGGAAGAAATCATGAGCGAGGTTTGGAATGTCATAGAATAGAGAGTTTCTCTTCTGAGGCTATGGAAAGAAAAGCAATCCTGTGTGTGTTCAGAATCCATACCTGCCAAGTCAAGAACATCCACTCCATCCTGCTAACTCTAGGAGAAAGAATTTCCACCAACCCAGGGTAGTCTTCCTCATTCTTTTGGAGCAAAAACCTGTTGGCTTAGTCAAAATTCTCCTCTGTGCAATCTTCATTGGATGATACATTCAACTCAGAACATTCTCCAAGGTTTATCAACTTTCATGCTGGGACATATCCGTAAGCTTACTGACACATAAAGAAGAGATAAATGAAGAGATGGTCTCCTGGCCAACCATTCCTTTTGTTTATTTTACATAAGCATTCATATTTTGCATGCCAATTCGTCTCCCTCCTCAGCATGGTGTAACAGAAAAAAACGTTGGCTTAATAAATAAACAACAAAGATGTTGGCTCTGGTGTCAGACATACTAAGTTTGAATCCCAGACCTATGAGCAAGTTTCTTACCTTTCTGAACTTCATTCACATCTTCCCAGGATTTTAGTGAAGCTTCCATGAGAATGTGTATAAAGTGCCTATCCTACTTGGCAAAAAACAGGCATTCAACAAATAGGAGTACTTCCCCATCTTTATTATGGCTGCCTCCACAGTGGTCACGTTCCACCCCTCATGGCCTCATGGCATAATGGCAGACTTCCCCTTTACCAAGTGCTCACCACATGCCAGGTACTGTTCTAAATTCTTTACATGAGATATCTCCATTCTTAAAACAGTCCCATGAAGTAAGTACTATTGCTAGTTTCAATCTGTTGTTATTGTTGTTGTTATGTTCCGCTGAGTCGGACCCGACTCACAGCGACCCCTCCTTGGGTTTCTGAGGCAGTATCACTACAGAAGTAGATTGCCCAACCTTCCTTCCGAGGAGTGGCTGGTGGGTTTGAACCGCCAGCCTCTGGTTAGCAGTCAAGTGTCTTAGGCACTATGCTACCAGAGCTCCTAGTTTCAATTTAGAGGAAGAAATCAAGTCATGGAGATTAAGAAATTTACCCAAGGACACACAAGACTAAATGGATTAAAGCAGTCAGGCTTGGAGCCCATGTTCTTAACCATTAAATTATACCATTTCTCCAAAGGAAAGGAAGGAGTCAGAACAGAGACCTATTTCAGAGGCCCTTATTTGTCCCCAGAAGAGGATTCCATCCTTCTAGAACATGTGCCAGATTTGCAGAACTTCCTTGGTCCAGAGCTCCAGGAGCTCCTGGACCCCCTAGAGGAAGTGGGAAATCAAAGGGAAAAAAAAGCACAGGAAAAAGAGTAGAGAGGCAAAAGAGAAAGAGAGCTATTGGAGGTGAAGGTGGTTTATTCCTCCAATTTCCTTGTCTGAATCAATTAGTTCAGGTATTCATTCATTCACTCATCTAGAACGTACTTGCTATGTTCAAAGCACTAAGATGAATGGGATTCTTCTATGAATGAGAAAGAGTGCCTGGCTTCATGACACTTACAATTTAGTGTTGTTGTCGTTGTTATGTGCTGTGGAGTCGGACCCGACTCATAGCGAGTCCTCCTTGGGTTTCTGAGGCAGTATCACTACGGAAGTAGATTGCCCCATCTCTCTTCCGAGGAGTTACTGGTGGGTTTGAACTGCCAGCCCTCTGGTTAGCAGTCCAGTGCCTTAGGCACTAGTAGGCTGGTATAAAAACAGCTGCCAGAAAACGTATACCTGACCAACCCTATTTAAAATTGCAACCCACCTCTCTACTCCACTCCTGATCCCCTTATAATGCTTTTTTTTTTTTTTTGCCCCGCAAAGCACTTATTACTTTCTAACATGTTGTTGTTGTTATCATGTGCCATAAAGTCGAACCCGACTCATAGCGACCCCTCCTTGGGTTTCCAAGGCAGTATCACTACGGAAGTAGATTGCCCCATCTTCCCTCCGAGGAGTGGCTGGTGGGTTGGAACCACCAGCCTTCTGGTTAGCAATCAAGTGCCTTAGGCACTATGCTACCAGAGCTCCTACTTTCTAACATACTACTATATAATTTACTGATTATGTCTTTTTGTTGGCTTTTTGTTGTTGGTGGTCTGTTTTGTTCCCTGATGTACACAAAAGACTTACAGCAATGCTGGGCATACAGTAAGCTCTTAATTAACATTTGATGAATGAATGAATCAATCAGTGCAAGTACTAATGGAGGGAATTAAGAGAAGGATGATAGAAAGCTTTAATTTACTGTTATTTTCTCAACTTTAACATTGTTCTTGAATCTTACCTCAAATTGTTGCTGACAAATTTCTTGGTTTCTAATATTGCATCTTAGCCTAGTCTGGTAACTGACCTGGCTATGCCTTTTGTTTTCCCTAGAAAGGGATCTGTGCAACCGTCATTGGATGATATAGTAAACCCAGAACATCAAGGGCTCCTGGCACTATAGCAGCCAGCCAGGCACAGAGAAAGTAACACTTGGGACTATGTGTTTAATACATATTTAATTCATTTGCCCTTGTTGCTCTGTAAAAATGCTTCCCAGCTGTTTCACAGACAGGATCCCTGCCTCACCATATAACTGCTGGTCAACTCTCGCACAGTCAGTTTCTACATGAAAAAGACTGAGAAAATTAAATATGGTGTTTGAATTGGGTGGGGTGAGTGGGTAGTCACCATTAAAAATAATTTTGTCTTCTGTAGTTTATGCAAACAAGAGGCAGATATAAAGCACCACAGATCCCTCTGATAACTTTGCTTCTTCTGTGAAGAAATCTAAAGCAAACTTTGTAAGCAGACATATGGCCCCAAATAAAGACACCATTTAAAACAACTGGTAAGGAGCTAGCAGAACCAACCCAAGTTATTTCAACTCCTTCATCATGGAGTCTTTAGAAAAACTTCCCTACTGGAAGAAAAACTCACTCAAATCGCTTGCCTCCTACTCTTCTCCCCTACAACTGCAATGTCAGGGTCCAAGGAAAGAATTTACTTTGACTGTTTTGTATTTCCACTGAACTTCAAAGGTGCATCACAAGCTGTGTTCGAGCTTTCCCATTTATAGCACAATCTCACCAGTGCAGGCTCTGGGAGTCAAGTGGGCCCTTGCCAGGAGGCCACGGAACAGCTGTACAGTGTTGTATTTCAAGTGTGTGCCCAATTAATGAACAGCACTTCTGCTCCCTCCACAAGATCCGCACAAAGGAAAGGTCAGCAAAGTACTTCTAGAACAGAAAAATGCTTTCTGTCTGTACTCCTCCCTCCTCTAATCTCTTTTTTAAAGTGTGTTACATGTATGTTCACAATACTTTTCAGTTCTCTTTAACAGTCTCTGAAAATTGGTTTTGAGGGTAACAAATTAACCCATTTTCCAACCTGTTCATTGTGATAGATGCCAGAGGATATAGCCTTTGATGGGCAAATGGTCCTCACTGTCAATCTGGTTTCCAGAACTCCACTAAACCAGGAATGCAGAGCTAATGCCGGCTTCTACACCATTTACTGACAGTGTGAGTAAATTTTATTTTTGAGCTTACTATGTTTAAAAGGAAACAATGTCATATACCACCACAAGCAGCACTTGTTACTTGTGACTAATACAATAAATGAGTGTTGGGGGTGGGGGAAGTAGACATGAAGGCAGCAGAAAACATCAGGTTAGAAAAGCAGGCATCCTAGTGGCTTACCACTTAAACACGGCTTAAAATGACTTCTTAAATCTGGTTCTAACAGGCTACTTCAGTATCAAACTTATCTCCTTTTTTTTTTAAAGCTTTCATTTCTCTCATCCCTCCTTCTTCTCCATTAATGATTAACCATCCATGGCTGCATAGTCGATTCTGACGCACAGCGACCCTATAGGACAGAATGGAACTGCCCCACAAGGTTTCCAAGGTTGTAAATCTTCACAGAAGCAGGCTGTCACATCTTTCGCCCGCGGAGCGAACTGCCGACCATTTAGTGAGCATCCAAGGGTTTAACCACTGCGCCACCAGGGCCTACCACCAATGATTAGTGCATTCTAAATACTGTAAATACTGTCAAGAACCACGCACAACAACTGCTTCAGTACCTCGGAGCCATGAAAATACCTCTACCACCAGCCTACCATTTTGGATTCCTATCTCCAAAATGGGAACCGAGTGGATACTTCTGCAGGCTTCTGTCACGGGACAGCCCTGGGCACTGGCGCTTAAAAGGCACAGAAATCCCAGAGGCCCCAGAGCATTTCACCGCCCCCTCAACACTGTCAGCGAATGGAGATGAAACTGGTCGTAAGATGTTAATGTTAAACTTCCATTTAAACATTTTAACGCCTTCGGAAGAACACTCAACTAACCCACAGGTATCCCAAGAGAGTGCTGTCGCCAAGAATAAGAAGCTCTTCCTTTCTATGCAACTGGTTGGGGAGCTCCCTCGCCTCGCGACCCAGGCCTCAGAGAAGGAGTATTTCTCTCCCAGATCAGACCAGTAACCGCCCAAGACCCTAAATAGGAAGAGAGGGTTGCGAAGTCCCGATAGCAGTCCTCAAGGACCGGCCTGAGCCTAAGAAACGTGTCTAGGCTTCTCACCAAGAAAGCAGAAAGGATGCCCTGCAGAGCGTCAAGCTTCTCTTCTTCCTCCTCCTCCTGCAGAACACCCAGGATATAGGCGCCGTACACAGCTCGGTCCACTCCTAGCGCCTCCAGCCTTCCGTCCAGCCACATCCCAAAGCCGCTGCCCCCACCATCACTCTCGGCACAGACTGCTGCGGCCGCTTCGCTGGGCGCCGCCATCTTGGGGTCAGGGTCCTGCCAGCCTCGGGGGTGCCTACCGCAGTGCCTGACGGGCCGCGCGGCGGGGCCACTGCGCATGGCGGACGAGAAATAAGGAGAAAGCTGGAATAAGGAAGCTGGCGGAGAGTCTCATATCACAGCTAGACAGTGGTAGGCCTGTTGGGCTGAGTCACCTGACCCTCAGTCGACTGCAAAACGCTTGGCTCTAATCGTGGAATAAATTACTGGAGAACCTGGGTTGGCTTTGGGGGAACTGCAGAGATCCCTGACCTGACTGCTTCATTCACCAAAGTATTGTTGATTACCTGCTGCAGCTGTTATTGTTAGGTGCCGTGGAATCAGTTCTGACTCATAGCAACCGACGTATGTACAACAGAATGAAACACTGCTCCATCTTGTGCCATCCTCACAATCATTGCTGTTTGAGCCCGTTTTTGCAGCCACTATGCCAATGCATCTTGTGAAGTAGAGAGTCTTCCTCGTTTTCACTGACCTCTACTTTACCAAGCGTGATGTCCTTATCCAGGGACTGGTCCCTCCTGATAACATGTCCAAAGTACGTGAGACAAAGTCTCACCATCCTTGCTTCTAAAGAGTGTTCAGGTTGTACATCCAAGACAGATAGATTTGTTTGTTCTTCTGGCAGTCCGCTGGCATCAATGCTTTGGTCTTATTCATTGTCCAGCTTTTGTACGCATGTGAGGCAATTGAAAGGTGCTCTGGTGGTGCAATGCCTAAGGCATTTTGAGTGTTAACCAGAAGGCTGGCAGTTCAAACCCACCATCCACACTGCAGAAGGAAGACTGGGCAATCTACTTCTGTAAAGATGTACCACCTCAGAAACCCGGATGGGGGTGGCTATGAGTCAGAATCCACTGGATGACAGTGGGTTTGGTTTTGGAGGCAATTAGGCCCCAAAGTGGCATCTTTCCTTTTTACGATTTTAAAGAGGTCTTTTGCAGCGCCCAGTATAATACATTGTTTGATTTCTTGACTGCTGCTTTCATGGGTGTTGATTGTGGATCCAGGTAAAATGAAATCCCTGACAACTTCAATCTTTTCTCCATTATCGTGATGTTATTTATTAGCCCGGTTGTGAAGATTTTTGTTTTCTTTATGTTGAGGTGTAATCCATACTGAAAGCTGTCATCTTTCACTTTCATCAGTTAGTGCTTCAAATCTTCTTCACTTTTCAGCAAGCCAGGTTGTGTCATCTGCATATCACAGGTTGTTAATGAGTCTTCCTCCAGTCCTGATGCCTCCTTCTTCATATAATCCAGCTCCTCAGATTATTTGCTCAGTATACAGATTGAATATATATGATGAAAAGATAACAACCCTGGTGCACACCTTTCCTGATTTTAAACTATGCAGTATCCCCTTCGTCTGCTGTAATGACTTCCTCTTGGTCTATGTATAGGGACCACATGAGCACAATTAAGTGTTGTAGAAATGTCATACTTCGCAATGTGATCCATAATTTGCTGCTAAACCCATTGCCTTCAAGTCGATTTTGACTCAGAGTGACCCTATAGGACAGAGTAGAACTGCCCCTACCCAAAAAGGTTTCCAAGGCTGTAAATCTTTATAGAAGCAGATTGCCTCATCTTACCCCCGCACAGCGGCTGGTGGGTTCAAACTGTGATCTTTTGGTTAGCAGCCAAATGCTTTAACCACTGCACCAGCAGAACTCCTAATTTGCAGCTAGGCACTGAAAATGCGAAGATGAATGTTACAAAATTTCTACCTTCAAGTGGTCTGCAGTCCAGTAAGAACACACATGTTTAAACAACTAATCACAACATTAAAAAAAAAAGCCAAACCTCCTGCTATTGGATGGCTTCCAACCTAAAGCGACCCTATACGACAGAGTAAAACTGCCATAGAGTTTCCAAGCTGTAATCTTTACAGAAGCAGACTGCCACATCTTTCTTCCAAAGGATGGATGGTGGGTTCAAATGCCAAACTTTCTGTTCACAATCAAGTCAAGTTTAACCACTGTGCCATCAGGGTTCCTGTAATTATAGTATCGCACTGCCTTTGAGTCAATTCCAACTCATAATGACCCTATAGGACAGATACAACTGCCCTCTAGAGCTTCCAAGGCTGTAAATCTTTAGGGAAGCAGACTGCCTCAGCTTTCTCCTGCAGAACAGCTTGTGGGTTCAAACCATCAACCTTTTGGTTAACAGCTGAATGCCTTACTCATTGTGCCACCAGAGTTCCTTAATTACAGTGTAGTGAGATTAATATTTTAATGAAATTGTGTTTCCATAACTTTTTGGTTTTCTTCATTCTTCTTTGCTCTCGACGAGGAGAGACCCATCGTTGCATCTAGATGGCAGCTTGCTAGCTTTTAAGATCTCAGTCGCTACTCACCAAAGTAGGAGGTGGAACAATGTTTTGTATAGTATGTTATGCCAGTTGAGCTTGATGTCCCCTGTGACTATGGTCCCAAGCCCA